TAATTCAAAATTCTATCTTCTTTTTTGAAGGAAGATATTTTTGTAATAAAGCCTAAGTAATAAATCCAAAAAAGGAGGCAATTACAACAACAGCTATCATTATCCAATTATATCCTTTAAAACTAAAAAATAATTAAAAAATGATACGCATTATTATTAACATTAATTAATTTAGCCCATTTTCCACCAGTTGGGAATATAGCTGAAACAAAAAATAAGATGAATCCTAATATCGTCCATAAGAGTAATAAATAGTTTCTATAATATCTTTATTTGAATGGATTTGAGATATAAAGATTGATTGCAAATGTCATAAAGAAGAACATTAAACTCATAAACATAACAGATTAAATATCTCCTGTTTTTTTTAATTCTTCAATTGGTTTTGGTATACAATTTGTAATAGGTTCATTAAACTCACATGTATGTACATCTCTGACTGCTTATGATATAAAAAAATTAATTATTAATCTAATAATGAATATATTATAATACCCAGCTGATCCCCAAATTAAATTGTTATAAATTTAAATTTAATTATAAATGGCAAATTAATCATCTAAAGGATTATATTTAGCTAAAGTATCAGATGGACCAGACAGACATAAAAATATCAGTAATGGAATGTTTGAAATAATACTTGTATAAGTGAACTAAAAATCTGCAAATGTTTCAGCTTCTAAAAATGTAAATAAAACAGCTATGAATTTTAATGTATTAACACTAATTTAATATTAGAAAACTTCAATAATGGTCATTGTAGCTGCTTTACCTTATAATAGTACCTTAACCACACAATCTAATGAAGTAGATTTACTACTAAAAGGAGCTGTATATGATGCATCAGCTTCACTAAATGATATTCCTACTTAAGCTTATGAAATAGCTGACTAATAATATTTAATGAAAAATAATTACACAATCATTTGCTCCATCTCCACACATTAAAACTTATCTTCCAAGACTTTAAATCATTTGAATTATAAGTTTCTTTTATTCTGGTTTTTATCTAGCAAAAACTTTTGTTTTTTTTATTATTTAAATTGCTAATTATCCAAATGATCCATCATCAATATCAATTATATTTATTTCACTAAATATCTTTTCTTTGCTTTAAGATTTTGCCAAAGCATATGCAGAATTCTTCGCTTCAATTAGGAAATTGCCTTTATTAAATATATATTCTAAAAATTTGCCGGTTAAAGCTAATTCTTCATAGTTATTTACAAATTGCTCTAACTCTTAAGCACTATCTGTTTATTGATCCTTAATTATGTATTGATTATTATTGCATTATAGAATTATCTCTAAATTTTATTGATTGTAATCCAAATAGGTAATTTCATTATCTTAATTTAAAATACCAGCTAATTTAGCACATTATATTGTTGTCAAAGGATTATCTCCAGAAATTACTTTAATATCTAATCCTGTTTCTTTTAAAGTAGTAATAATTTGATTTGTATCTGATTTTAATGGATTTTCCAAAACTAATAGGCCAACAAAATTTAATTATTATTCTATCTATTCTCTTTATAAATCAATTTAATTTAATTATAATTCTTTATATGCTAAACCTAAAACCCTATAACCTTTAATAGCATTCTAATTGAATTCATCAATTAAATCATCTCTTTTTTTTACAGAAATAGAATCAATCGCTTCTGGAGAACCTTTTGCATATAAATAATATTTAGATCCATCTGTTACTATAACACTCATCATTGATTTTTATGAACTAAAATCAAATACTTTATGAACAGTATATGTCATTCCATTTCCTTCAATAGTTAGAGGATTATTGTTGAAATTACATTACCAGCCAACAAAATTGAGCATTTCAATTTCCAAAGGATCTCCTAATAATTATCCATTCAACTTAATTAAATGATGACAACAACCCATTATAGCATCCAAAATTGGCTTTTCTTCTCCAGGTAATGCTTTTATTGCTTTAAATCCAAGTGTTGTTAGAGTTCCAGTTTTATCAAAGCAACAAGTATCAATTCTTCCTGCTGATTCTACTTTATCTGCATTATTTCCAATTACACCTTTAGCTTCTAGTCTAACCAAACTTGCTGTTTTACAAATTTAAAAGAAAATAGGCATTGATGGTGGAATTGACCAAACTATATTATCCAAAAATCTTAATACTAAAATACTTGTTTAGAATTCCATAGGAACATATTTAATCAATAGTAATCCATAAATCATAGTTGTGAAGAAAGCTATTTCAACTATGAATTTGGCTGCTTAAATATAAAATCTTATTGATGGAGGTTCAGGAAAAAGTACATTTCTAAAATATTATCCTCTTAATGATGTAAAACCTGTTCTAAGTACAATAGCCACATTTTCTGAAGTGGTATTTACTTGAATCAATTGAGTACCTTCAAATAAACAATGTTAACTCATTTTATCTAATTCAAATATAGAATTCTAATTTGGCAATGCACTTTTTGGAATTGGTATGCTCTCACCTGTTAAAGTGGCTTCGTTAACTATAACATCACCAGAAATTATAACACAATCACAATTTAATGTTTGATTCTCTTTAAGTATGAAAAGATCTCCTGGAACAAGATCAGATCCTTTGACAATTTTATATTATTCAGCTTCTTTAATTGCTACTTCTTAATGAATATTAGCTAATTATTGTAATCTTCTTCTTGATCTAACATATAAAAAGTAATTCAAATAGACTGTTATAACTGTAAAAATTAATATTAGAATTGGTTGTAGGACAGTTTTTTCAGCAAACCATATTGCAACAGCAAAATATTGTAAAATATTAAATGGACCTGTAAATGCATTTAATGAATATATAAATATTGATTCTATTGGTATTTTAAGTTAACATGTTCCAAAATATTTAATCTTTTAATTTTTTGTTAATGTTTGATTTATATTAAGTATCTCTACCAAAGTTTTACCTTTTTTTTCGAATTCTAGAGGTTAATAAAGTTAAGTTTAAGCATTTAAAGAGTATTTAAGCATTCTATCATATTTAAATTTGATATACTTAAATACAAAATAAGGTTTCCCAAACAACATTTTTTTTTTGCAAATAAATTCTCCACCTGATGAGGCTATTATTCTATAATGAGTTGCAATAGTTTCGTCTTAGCATTCTATGAATAAAAATATTTGGTATAGCTTTTTGAAGTATTTCAAGGCCAAGGCAAATAGAAAAGCGGTTGATATAGATATAAGAATCTACCTAATAAATATTAATACTGCTAACAAGATTCTAGATTTGCTTATTCTAATTGGTTGAACTTGTGATAAAGGATGTTGTCCTTCAATACATGAATTTTAAACTGAATATAGCATAGAAATATATGATTGCCCAAATAAATATGATTTAATTTTGATTATGTATTCCCTAAAAATGAGGCTTTGTAATTAATGATTTCATTACTTTAGATTACGATAATAAAACAACATTGATGTAAATATTGATATATGTTAATTTTTAAATACATTTAATTTTTATTTAACATATTTTCGATTCTCATTTATTTTATAAATCATTCCATAAGTATAACATTGGATGAATACTTAAAGAAATTTTTCATGAGTAAATTATCTTATGTTTAAATGTTAAAATATAAATACTTAATAAGAATATCAATCTAAAAAGTTCATATTTCAAACATGAATAATGAAGATTTTCAAAATTCATACAAATTTTGAGTTAATGATAAAAATTTTTTAATAAATATATAAAGAATAAATTTTTAAGAAAATGAGGAATTCCATTAAATTTTATTTAGCCTGTGAGTATTTTTTTGTTAATTTCATTAATTAAAAAAATCTAAATGTTAATAGAGGTAATTTTAGGGTTGTTCATCGTATTATTTTACTTTTTGGTTATCAAACCACTTGTTCCTATGATAAAACTAAAATTATAATTTGGAAATGATTGTTTGATGAAATATCACTTTTTTGGAGGAGAACTATGGTAGTAATTAAAAGAAATGAAAATAAGCAAAGATTTAATAAAAAGACCTAGAGACTTATATATAAATCATCCATATAAAATATTTGTATCAAATTTTCTTTGGAAAATAAAAATATCTGTTGCTGATCCAGAATATTATAAGGTTATGTTACATAATCATTAATATTACAGTAAAGTTAATAATATAAACCATGAGTAAGTATTAAATAACATATTTTTAGTAATTTGATTTAAAAAGGTTTAGTTTTTTCTATGGGGGAAAAATGGAAATCATAAAGAACAGTCTTAAGCGAATCATTTGAATATGATTAACTCAAAAGTCGATTACCCATGATAAATGAAGTTTGCCTTGAAAAAATTAATTAAATTTGTGGGGATAATGTTTTAGAATTCCTCGAACTAATAACAGGTTAAGTAGTTATTCGAAGCTTTTTTGGAAATTCGGCTGAGGGAATAAAAATTAATAAGAAATAAATCTAAATAGAAATTGCAGATTTATTAAATGATATGGGTGAATTGAGATTGAAATCAAAATATTTCTTCATTAAAAGATTCTTTTTAGGTACTAAAGGATGGAAATTCTTTCCTACTAAAATCGAAAAAGAATTATTATAACGAGTCTATGAGGTCAGATTAACCATAGAAAAATTAATACAAAAAAGAATTGTCGAAATAGAGATAAAAATGGATGAAAATGAGAATGATGTAAAACAAAGAGATCCTGATTTTTTAGATGTTCTTATTAAAGAATATTTAAAATAAAAATAGAAAGGTGTTTAAAAAATAACAATTGATGATATTCTATAATAGTTTATCACACTATTTTTTGCAGGTACAGATACAACAGCAGTTTTAAGTTATCATTGTCTATATTTTTTGGCATTATATCCGGAAATTTAATAAGAAATAAGAGAAGAAGTAATGACAGTTTGTAAAAATGAAATGGTATTAGATGATAAGATCAAAAAATTACATAAATTAACTGCTTTTATAAATGAAGTATTAAGAGTTAAGAATCCAGCATTAAGATTATTGTTGAGAAATTGTGATTAGACTCATTAAGTTAAAGATTTAACAATAAAAAAAGGTATCTATATTAAATAAACATTTAGGATGGAATGTCATTGTTGATTATTAATTTTAATGCTTCCTTTCTAAGCATTTTTCGAATCCAGAAAATTTTGATTATAAAAGATGGTTAGAAGCTGAACCAATAAAAGAAAATCATTAATTTGTATATCTACCGTTTTCTGCAGGACCAAGAAATTGCATTGGATAACATATGGCTTAAATGGAAGCCAAAATTATTTTATCCCAAATTCTTAGACAGTTTTAGATCAATATTAATCCAAATGTTGATCCAAGATGGACTGCTAGATTTCTATATTAATTATAACCTGGTAATTGTGTTCAATTATAAAAGTTATGAAATTATTATAATAAAAAGTTAAAATGTTCATCTAAATATTCTTACAAATTTCTTTTAGGATTTCTTTTTCGCTACTTTCTGATCAAGTTTTAGATCAACACTTGAAATTATAATTTTGGCTCATTATGTAGTTTTAAGTATAATATTTACTAAATATTCAAATTTGATATATATTAAAACATATAATAAAATAATATTGGTAAATGAAAAAGTTTTATTTTAATTAATTTACCTTCTTATACAAAATAATTCTATTAAGTGATATAATTAATCAGAAAAAGAAATAATTATTTAGATTAAGTAAAGAGGCTAATGTTAAATGCTTTAATCTTAAAATCTTAATATATAATCTCAATTTTTACTACTAACTTTAGGTGAATGGTTCATTTAAATTAACAGCTTTTGTAGATTTTATCTTGAATTATTTTTTTAGATTAAAATGAAGCAAAAGCGATAATTTAGTTGAATGGTAGATTATATTGTTCTTTATCTGACTTTTCATTCCATAATTATCAAATATGACTTATTTAAATATTTTGGCAAATATGTTTATAAATTGACCTATAATTATTTGTAATCAAAATGATTATTATATAATTGTGAATGAAGTTTACCTGTTTTTGAAACTATTGCTTTTATATAAAATATGAGTATATTTTGATAAAGTAGATAATTTTCATAAATTTCACTATTTCTAAATCATAAATGGAAATATAATCTTATTTTTGAATATCATTAATAGGATATAAATTTAGATTTAAACGATTTTCAAAAAAGATTAAGTGAAGTATGTAAAATATTTTTTATATGGCTGATTTCTGTTAAAAGAATATATTTAATAACATGATTAAAATTTACAATATTTTTAACAAGAATGAATATTAAATATTGATAAATTATTTGATCATTTCGATAATTAACTCATAATTTCATTCGATAATCATTTTGGTAAAAATTTAAATTTCTTCTTACAATTAGAAGCTTTATGATATAAATTTGGTATGAAGCATAATTTACTTTAGAAACATTTAGTAAATTACTTTTATCCATATATTTTATAAAAATATATTATTTAGTTAGTTTGAAGGCCTGATTAAAAATTCTTAAAAATTATCTTATATAAGTAATTAGAATGGATAAAAAAATTATAATAGAAAAAGTTAATGTTATGTGAATTTGGGCGATCATTCTGAGTTCTGATAATGATAAAATTAAAAATTTGTGAAGCACAAAAACCTAAGCCAGTTTTTAAATTCACTTAAGCTCTCTCTGATCCAAATATACCATTAGAAAGTGTTGAAAGTTAAGGACCAAAGACACATTCTCATCAGGAAATAGATATTGACATAGATCAATTAAGTTATTAGAAGATGTTTTCTTCTAATGATATTGATTAAGAATTTGATTTTTTTGATTCTAGAAAATCGAACTCTTAGATGGGAGTTAGTCCTGGTTTATCAATAACTTCTTATGATTTAGAATAAACTGATAAAGCTTTAGAAATTTAACCATATGGAAGTGTCTCTTATAATTAAAGGGAAGTCCCAGAAATACTTCTAGCTTTTAGAAAAAGAAGAGTTGCTTAAATTTAATTTCCATAGATTTAATGTTAATGTTAATGTTAAGAATCTTGCAAAACTTTATCTAATTTTTCTTCTCCTGACTTATCTCCTATGCAAACAAAGAAATTACAAATAAAATCTTTTATTGAAGTATCGCTGAATGAGAATGAAGAAGATGAAATATTTAGCGTATTTGATGATGAGATAAACTATTATGGTTCCTTATCACAATCAAAAATAGATTTTTTGGATAATTTACATAAATTTTTAGTTTTATACAAGATGAGAGCAGGTACATTTCCAAGACAAAGGGAAAACTTAGAAAATGAAATAATAATATCGATTGCTATGAATTTAGCCAAAGTGGATAAATAACTATTTAAATAATATTTTCCATCAAAGTAGGTATATTTTGATGATGAAAATGATTATACAAGAACTAAAAAAGTAAAACGAAAGTAAATTAGATAACTTACTTAAATTGAAACTCCTGATTTTTAATATGTGAAGGATAAAATTTGATAAAATGGATTGAATATATATTTAATTTCAATTTTTTCTTTTTGCATTTGCAATGCCTAAAGATTTTACTTTAGTAACTTAACCTTCATAAATTTTACTATCTACATTTTGTGATTTTCTTTTCGTACATTAGGGGCAATTGAACTCCAACTTAGAAACATTTTTAAGTTGTTTATCGCTTTTTCCACTACAAGTATAATGAATCCATTCACTACATGAATCACATTAAATATAAGGTTTAGAAGGATCATATAATTTTTCACAAATACAATATGTTTTCCATTAACTTATATGAGGTTTAAACTATTATTTTAACATATTATATTCCGCTCTTGTATAATATTAATCTTCAGTTAGTTGATTAGAATCATCACTATAAAATTCAATAGGATTGATTTGTATTTTAGATTAAAAAGTATTGGAAATAAACCATTAAGTTTATTCAGTTAAGAATAGATCTTTTGATGTACATTCTTTAAGTTTAGGAAAATCATCAATAAAATCTTGAAAATCTTTAAGTTTGTAATAAATCCTACCATTAATGAATGCCGCCCATTCATCTTGTATTTATATTTTAATCATTTTAGTAATTTTCACATAATAAATCTGTTTGCCAATAAGAAACTTAGCATTTTCAGATGGTGCTAATTTATATTTAGAATGGTATAACATATAATCACATTCAACTAAGAGATCAGTATATTTGAAATAAGAGATGAAGGTTTCATACTATAAGATTAATTTAAGATAGAATTACATCTTGTTTTTCGAGACTCTCCATAATTGCAATATGATCATCTTTTGAAAATTTAACAGAATTCATTTATGTTTTCTCTTATAATATATACAAAATAAATATTATGATTACAAAAATATATGTATTTAATCATTTCCTACTATTTTGATTACTTGATGGAACATAAGCAGAAGATCTTCTAGCTGCAGCAACTCTTTAAGCTGGAGTTCTCTCTTCATCAAAATGAGAATTTCTTTATTTTATTATAATAGTTGTCTTATCTTTTCCTGAGATTCTTATTTCTTATTTCTCTTCAAGAATAGGCATTAATTTAATCATTTTTGGATTTAATACACTCTATCTTTTACTAATATTAATTATTATTTAATAATTACTTTCTATCAATCTCTGGATGTAATGGTTACATTCTTTTAGGAGGACTACTCTTAGGTCTTTAAAAATCTCTAAAAACAGGTACTCCATCTTCACCATATTCTACTTCCATTATTTTAGATTCGAGAATATCTCTACATGATGGTCTTTCTGAAGGATTCAACGATAACATTCTCTATAATAACAATGTTAAAGAGTGACTCTAATTTAAATCTTTTTCTAATTAAGCAAAGTCTATCTTCATCTCCATATTTGTTTACTTTACTGGTTATCCAAATAAAGGATGACCAATAAGAAGATAGTACAAAATACAACCCAAAGAAAATACATCACATTTCTCGTCATATGTTATATTGTTATCATTTTCTGTCATGAATACCTCTGGCGCCATATATCCTGGAGTGCCACAAAATTAATATACAGCCATTCTTTCTTATTTTGGAGTTGCTATCCCAAAATCACTTATCATTATATTATTATTCACATTTATTAATCCATATCTTTTAAGGGGAATGAAATCTCTAAAAAGAATATTATCTGGTTTCAAATCTCTATGAATTATACCCTAATCATGAATATATTGTACACCTTCAAGTATTTATCTAAATATCACCTTTGCACTTAAGAATGGAACTGGACCATTCAAAACCTTTAAAGCATATTCAAGTGTACCTCCTCTAGCTAAATCCATTATTAAATAGATTTATGCTTTATTTTCAAATACCTCATGTAAATTTATTAAATTTGGATGATTCAATCTTCTCATAACATTTATTTCATTCTCAACTTAATCTCTACCTTTCGGATCCTAGAAAACTTGCTTCTTATAGAATGCCTTTGCAGCATAAGATTGTTGATCATTCTTACCTTTCGCTTCATAAACAGAAGCAAACGATCCCTTACCAATCAATTTATTTATATCATAATGTGTTTAATAATCCAACATATGTAACTTGCTTCTCAAGTAATCAAACCAATACATTGTTTAAAAATTGAAATTGTAAAATTCAACAGAATTACAATCATCCCTTTCAATAGTAAATTTGTATATCTGAGTATGAAATTCATCACCTTTCATTTATTTATGTATTTGCTTTGATGTTTATTCAGCTTTCACTGAAAATCTCACCTCACAGTTCAGTTTAAGAATGTACACTTTGTTATTTTTATTGCTTATTTTGTAGATGAAATCATCACTGCACAGTAGCAAAATCACTTCTTTATGATTACTCATCTTAAAGAATGGAGTCCTAAATAAGATTTTATCCTATGGAATAGGAGAATCACATTTTGAGAAAAGCTTTGTTTATTGTTGTTATAACATATTTAAATAAATTATTCAAAGTCAAAGTGATTCTTTAGCTTACAATTGAACTTTTTGTAATTTGTAAACTTATCTATTCAAAGCTGATTTTTAAATCAAGAAACCTAATTTAGCATAGAATCTTAATAAATGAGAACATTGTTCACCACATTGTCTTTAATGATTTTATCTTAACTTTGATAAATATTCATTAAATTCCTCTTATTTTAATTCATCACCATCTGCTTTATTAAAGAATTTTTTAATTTGATTAACAGCTTCTTAAAATTATGGATCATTTTTGGCTTTTCCTTACTATAATTTTTTAAAGGCTTCTTTGTCTAATTCATTGTAATCAGGTTTATCAATAATAATTTGAGAATTCTATTTTTTTTATTAGAATTATTCTTAAGTTTAAGTAAATAATGGTATTTAACCTTCAGTTTAAATTCCAACATCAATTACAATAACAGATTACAAATCTGCTTTAGGTAATCTTTTTTACGATTATCTAATTTATTTTAATTCAGGATTAAATCCATCATTTTCAATTACTTCAAATTCTTAAATAATTTCTTCTCCTAATGCATTGATTCTCTTTTTGATCAATATTCTCTAACCAAATTCATCAACACGATCTTCTTCTACAATTTTTTCATTATTATCATCAAAATAAGATCTCTAATGAATATGCCTTTTAGCTCCATTGGATAGATTGATTGTTTATTACTAATATTCAACAGAATTTTTAGTAAAATTAGTAGTTTAAATTTTCATATTATTTTCATGATCAACCATATGAATAGATTCTTAACCTTGTTCATCAATAATAACTTTCTACTCAGTAGTTTTACCATTTTTAGTGATTCTTTCAATTCTTTCATTAGGTCCTAGCTATATAATAATTTATTTTCCAATTTCTAATCCATCTTAGGTGATAGTAGTTTCAATAGTTTATTTTCCATCTTCATTTTTAAAAGTCTTTTACATTTAAACTTCTTTAGTTCTCATATTCATTTTTCTTTAACATTCAACTTATAAACCTTTTTCATTAATATAAGTGTATTTAGTAACTTATATTTCATCTCCAAATTCATCATTAAATACAGCTTCTGTCTTATCTTTATACTATTTCATAACAATACTAGATCTCCTTCCATTAGGATGTATAGTAATTTCATCAATTTTTTTACTTTGATCATCTCCATTCAGATATATTTTCCTCATAATTTTAAGTCCTCCTTATTTAACTTCTTCTTCATGCTAATACATTTCTCCATTATCATCTTTTAAAACTTATTTTGTAATAGATTCTACAATTTCATGTTGACTATTTCTTTTAATAATCTTTAATGTATCTTAACCATATTTTTATTTTTCTAAAATTCTCAAAACACTTCCATTTTCATTTGTTCTTTCTTCTATAATCGATTCTTTATGATCTAATCTTTTAGCTGATAATTTGATTCCTCCAGTCTCTCCTTTATCTTCATATAATATTTATCCATTATTTTAATAAACTTTATATTAATGTTTTCCATCTGCCTAATTAGCAATCCACTCTTCTTCTAATTACTTATTCCCATCAACAGATTTAACTCTTACAATCTTTTTTGCTTAAGCAGTATTAACTTCATATTAAGTAACATCATCTGATTTCTACACAATCTTCACTTTCTAACTTCCATACTTAGCTACTATCCATTCATTTTCATCCAAAGTTTATTCTTTTGACTTTATTTACTTAATCAATTCCTCTTATTCTAACATTATTTCTTATTGAGGATCACTTTATCTTGCTCTAATTTTAATTATCTCTCCACTCTCTATATCCACTACTACCTCCTCAATTACTTATTAACCATTAATCTCCTTTACTCTAAATTCTATTCTTTTATTTTATAATAATTCTGGATCAAACTCTGGATCATATTCTATAATTCCTGCCTCTATTGCTTTCCTCTTATGTTCCTATAATTAAACCTACTTTATTATATCACTTAAAGAAGGAAGATTCTCTTTCAACTCTTTCGATTTAAAATCTTTTGTCATCTCTATCTATGTTATTTTCTATTGTAACACTTAAGTTACATATTACAAAGATTGTTAAGCAAAATATTTAACTTTTAATGATGGTGTATCTTAATTAACATCCTAAAATATATCAGTCTATTTTTGACATGCCTTAATTCCTTCTTCAATTATTTACTTTACATTATCATATTGTGAGTTTAAATAAAAATAATTTACAAAATGATTTCTTAATTCTGAAATAGCTTAGAGTGAGAATTTAGATTATTAAGTTTCAGTTTATGTTTCTGCATCAAAAGTTTAAATCTTGTTTTATGATTGATTATCATCTGCATTCACATTTGTATTAAGTAATAATTCATCTAAATCAACTTAATTTGCTTTAGATGTCTTATAAACAAACTATTCATCATCATCTGATAATTTTCTAATTTTTCTTTCAATTACTATATGTTCCATTTTCTAATTCAATTCTTGTCCATCTCTCTTTAATTAATCTAAATACTTTTTATAATATGCTTATTTATTATCTTACTTAGATGGTAATTAACGATAATGATCACATAACGAACAATTAATTAATCTTAATGATCTTCTTCTTTAAGCTCGTTATTAAAATAATTTTCTAGTAACTTCATCAAAATCATTATCTTTAAGACACTTAATCAGTTAGGTTATTAATTAAAAAACTTTAATTGTTTAACCTCTAAATTCTTCTTTTATATAAGGTACAATTGATTAAATAACAATCCAAGAAATTGTATGGACTGAATGAAATACATGTTATAATTTATCTTATTCTATTTTAAGTACATCATCATTTAATTTTTAAAGAATAACATCTAATTTATTAGCTAATTCTTTTTCCATTCTAATAATTTTAATATTATTTTTATTATATCAAATTTATTTAGGCAATAGATATTTTGGTACATCATTAAATTTTGGAGGTATATTATAAGCACCTGGTCCAGGAATGATGTCCTTTTTAATTAAACCTGAACGAATATCTTTAGAGAATCCCCATTATGGTCCTTCGAGAGATGATTTAATTGAATATTATCCAGGTCCAGGATAATATTATGTTAACAATTATTTAGTTTTATATTCTGGTGCAATCTTCACTGAACCATCTTTATGTTTAATAACAGAATCATCCGGATTATATTATCCTGGCCCTGGTATATATGTAGAACCATTTGGATTATAAATTGATCCCTTAATTGAAACCATCTATGCATTCTAATTCTAAGGTAATGAATACTATCCAGGTCCAGGAGTTATTGTTACTGAATCATTGAGATCTTTTCTAAGTGCTTAAGGCATCTTAAAAGATGGAGCTGATTTCTATAATGAATTTAAACTATCCAATCTCCTATTTATTATTAAATTAATATCTAATACTCTCTATGATATTATCCAGGTCCAGGAAATAATTTATCTAATTGATTTTATGTATTCCTCAATTCTGAACCAATCTTATAAGATGGATAATTTGATTTAATCGTTGAAACATCCTAATCATATGCTCCTGGACCAGGTTGATTAGAATTATAATCTTTAGTACTTAATTTCTATTTTAATGTAAAATTCTTAGATAAATTGAGTAGACTCTTTAAATGATATGCTCCAGGTCCTGGTTATGTATCTTACTTTCTTAATTCTGAAGATCGTTAAGATGTTCCTATAACCCAAGAAGGTTAAGATTTTTCTAATAATTACTTTGCTGCCTTATCAATGTTGTATTCTAAAATAAAGGTTATTAAATTTACATCCAGGTCCAGGTGTCATACCACCTTCTAAAGATGTTAATCTTGGTTATGTTGGAAATTTAATTGAATTGTTAGAGATTTAAGAACTGTTAAAATCATATTATCCAGGACCAGGTACATTATCTTTTTAAAATGTATGATGTTTTAGACCCAAAGTATACATTGGTTACTTTTTGTAAACAGAACTAAAACTTTCATCATCATAATTTCCAGGACCTGGAGATAAAGATTGCTTTTTAAATTCATGTTTTCCACTCATTGTATACTTTGGACCTTCTAACACTTTTGATTGATATCCATATTGTCCAGGTCCTGGTCCTATTGATGTTGATCTACCTTCCCTTTAAGCTGCACCACCAATACTACTCTAATAACTTCGCCTTACGTCCATTAAGGTGCTTGCTATTTTTAAACCAATTTCGGAAGATATGCATTCGGACCAGGTGTAAATGTTTTTAATCCAGGATCTGATCTTTTACCTTAACCTATTGAATAAACCATTTATAAAATTAATATCTATTATTACAATTATTTTATATCTTCTATTCTCTCCATTCTTATTATTCACAAACATTTCCTATCTCATCTCCCATTTAATTTTATTTATTCTACACTTGTACATTACCTCTTTTAACTAAATAACACATTACACCACACTAATTACCTTTCGTTCTTTCTAGAATTCATTTATAATTATCCCCCACTTTCCTATATTTATTAGCTTTTACAATTTTAAAAATATCTACCCCTCCTTTCATCTATGTATTAGTTTTTAGAATCATAAAAATCCACTTATCTTTATGTTATTTGTTTTTAAAATTATAAAAAATCTATATTCATTTGATCGAAATTAAGGAACTCTCAAAATACTTAATTTATCATTTAATAATATATAAATAAATGCTTATTTTAAACTAAATTAATGTTAATTTAAAAAACCTAAAAATATCAAATCTTTAACTATGTAAATTATTTTGAAAGAAAACTCAATAAATGTATTACATATACATTATATTTATAAAACAATTCTTTCTTATTTTATAGCAATTAATTAGTTGTGATACTTTTAATTAATAATAAATTCTCATAAATTATCGTATAAATATTTTTTAATTAAGTTTCCATCTCCAAATATTTCAATTATTTTAAGTTATCATAATTGAGTAAAAATTTACATATGTGAAATAAATTTTTCATTTTTTAATTTTAAATGGGTTGTTGCTCAAGTTAAAGACATACTGAAAGGAAAAAAACATATTTTACAACTAATATTCGAACATTTTATAGATTTGGAGCTGTGTTAGGAAAGGGATCTTTTGGAATAGTAAAGGTAGGATATAAAGATGGACCTTATGGAGAAAAAGTCTATGCGATAAAGACCATAAATAAAGTAAGAGTAGCAGATAAAACATAAATGATTTAAGAAGAGTTTGAAATACTAAGAAAAATGGATCATCCAAATATAGTTAGATTCTATGAAATGTATGAAGATGATATGTTTATTTATTTTGTTATGGAGCATTGTAAAGGAGGGAATTTACTAGAGAGAGTACTATCAAAAGGTACAGGAATATGAAAAATAATATATAGGTAGTTTTGATGAAACTAAAGCCAGTATTGTTATGAGGAAACTGTTTTCAGCAATATCCTATTTGCATAGTTAGGGTGTGATGCATAGAGACTTAAAACCTGAAAATATATTATTATCAAATGAAAATGATGACGCAGAGATTAAAATAATAGATTTCGGTTTAAGCAAGAAATTAAAGGAATCAGATAAAGATAAAAAGAAATAATTATAACGAAAGCAAAGTCAAGTTGGCACTCCATTATACGTAGCTCCAGAAGTTCTGACTGGAGTGTAAATTTAATTAATTAAAAATTAGTTATAATTAGAAATGTGATGACTGGGCTGTTGGATGTATAATGTACATTGTATTATGTTCTGAACCACCTTTCTTTTCAGAACATTTAAAAGAATTATTGTAAAAGATATAGTATAAACCTTTGACATTTCCTTAAGAGGAATGGAAAGGAATTAGTTAGGAATGTAAAAAGATAGTTTAAGGATTACTTTAAAAAGATCCAGAAAAACGAATGACTTCTTTCGAAGCTCTAAATAGTGTTTGGGCAAAGAAGGCATTTCGTAAACCATTACAAATCAAAATAAATTAGAAATAAGGGAATATAGTTTAATCAAATGATTGCACTCCTGTTAATACATCTAATATAAAAGGATTGAAAAGATATGCAAAAAGCAAATAGTTTAAAAGGGAAGTACTTAGAATTCTAATCAATTAATTGAATGATAAGTAGATTGACAAATTGAGTTAAAAATTTAAGGAATTAGATAAAGATGAGGATGGATTTATTACACCATAAGAGTTATCTTAAATAATGACTAAATTAGGATTTGAAACTACGAAAAATGAAATTGAATAATTAATTCAAAATATGAATCCTGAAGAATAATAAGCTTTGTAAATTAAATACACTTAATTTTTGGCAGCTACTTTGGATTTAAAGTAACATTTGAATAAGGAAAGATTATGGAGTTTGTTTCGTTATTTTGATGTTTAGGATAAGAAATATATAACCAAAGAAGATATATAACAAGCTTTTAAAAGAGAAGGAAGAGATGAAATGGCTTCAGATAAAATTCTGACTGATATAATGATTCATGATGGGAAAATGACTTATAAAGATTTTTGTTAATTGATGCATGATGATATGGAAAGTGATTAATTCTTTGAATATTTCGAAAAATTGCATGCTTCTCCTGAAAATCATAGATGTATAAGCAAAACTTGATACTTATATATATTTTATATATAGATTTTTAGTCATCCATTTCAAATCAAATAATAACTTTTCTTAATTAACAGACTATAATTAATACATCATATATTGAAATTAAAATATGAAATAATCACAAAAGATTCTTCACTTCTATCAATTATTAATCAAATGAATAAATAATATTTATATCTAAAAAATAATATTTCATGACTAGTACTTAATTGTTGATTTATAATTTTCTCAGTACAATAGAACAATTATATCCTTATAATGAGTTTAAATAATAGTGTAAGAACTCATTATATCTAAGGAGATTTTTAAGGATATTGTAGAAAAGGAAGCAACTCATTTATTACTATAGAAAAAAGTAAGAATAATTTATAGGGATTCTCTCTTGTTTTTATTCCTTTATTATAATATTATAAATATAATGGCAAAAGTAAAGGAAAAATAATTCAAATTTAATCAAATTGTAAGAGATAATACTTTATTATTATTTATAAAATCTCTTAAACTTATTCAATTTATTATATTTGTATATGATTTATTAAGGATTATAAATTATTTATCCTAAATGGTGAGATTATCATGATATCAGATCTAATTAATAATATAGAAGTTATTGTATTAAAAATGTTCATAATATTTTGAAAGAGTAATAATGAAATATTGATATTTTTATTTAATGAATTAAACATAAACTAACTTATCTCAAGTGAGATAAAAAGAAAAAGTATCTCTTAATGATGGTTTACCAAAAATAGATCCTAGAACAGTAATTGAAGAACTAAAAAGTCATTTGTATTCAGATGATAATTTTAAAAAGTATTAAATTATTATTGATATAGATTGTTTTCTGATGCAGAAGATAAGAAATACAGAGAGAATTTTTAACTATTTGATAGAGATAGTGATGAAAGAATAAACTTTACAGAATTATAAGAACTTTTAACATCTATTGGTTATGTTTATGATGAATAAGAACTAAGTGAATTATATAAAGAATTAGAAGATTCAGAGGGTTAAGGTATAAGATCTGATGCTCTATTTATTCTTGTAAGTAAAAAGAAGAGAGAATAAGATAGAGAAGAATAATTGATTGAAGGTAAATGTTAAATAATATACTAATAGCTTTTAAATCTGTAGATTTAGAAAACACAGGATATATTTAGAGTGAATACTTTAAAGAATTATTGATGACAATGGGATATAGATTTACAGAAGATGAAGCAGATGAATACATGAAGTTTATTGATCCAAAAAATGAAGGAAAATTCCTATACATTGACATTGTAAAGAAAATACTCAAATGAATTATTATACATTCATAATAAACTCATTAAAATATTCACAAAGATGACAACAATTAGAAATTATATTAAGAATTAAAACATTTCAAATTAATGACACAATTATTATAACTATCCATCACCTTCATCTATGTCATATATTCATCTTGTTTAATTTAAATATAATCTAATTTACTAAACACTTATTACTTGTTAAATTATAATAAGACAAAATATCATTTTTTAATGTATATTATTACTTACAATCATTTCCAATAATATAAATTACTTTAAAAGTATTTTATATACAAGGAATAATTTCTTTTAAGTATATAAATATTCTTGAGCATTAATACTATGAAATATAATTATTTTGTAATTATGTTTTATAAAGTTAAAAATTCAGAAGTTGAAGGATAACATTAATTAGTTGAGATTTTTCCTGTTATGATTAGCAAATTCAGATTAATTATTGCTGTAATTGTTACTTGTTGGTATATTAGATTGTTTTATCAGTGATCTCATGCTTTGCTTTTTCTCTAATTTTATCATGGAATCAAAAACTTTATTAATATTTTCTATTCATAAAAACTACTGAATAAGAATGCACATATTACCTTGTTTCAAATTCAACCAATGAATAATTTGTATGCAAGAAAACTCGTATTAACAACATTTCCTATTTTACATATAGGTAAATGGCTGTTTTGATATTAAATAGATTTCTTAAATATTAGTTAAAAGACAATTTCTTCTAACCTGTTAATTATGTTGACTCAACTGTCAATTCTAGTGATAAAGTCTAAAAGTTAGATTTTTTGTTGAATAGTCCAATATCTAGAGAAATTCGATAAATAATCTATGGAAACAGTTAATTACTAATTCCAATCAAATCAATATTTACTTATTTATTTTAAGAATTAACTAGTCCCTTTTATATTTTATAATATTTTTCAATATTATTATGGATTGCAGAAGGTATTACTTATTAATTTTAGATAGGATTCATTCTATTTGCGATTGTACTACTTTCCTTCTCTTTATTAGCTTGTTTAATCAATTATTATCTAATGAGAAGATCTAGAATCTAATTACAATAATTAGCAACTATATAATAATCGGTTTAACTGAAAGATAATTCTATAATATAGGGAAGTGATTTAGTAGTTGGAGATCTATTTTTTGTTCATGATAATTAATAATTAAATTGTGATTCTATATTGATCTCAGGAGATGTAATGGTTAATGAGGCTACATTAACTGGAGAATCCATTCCAGTTCCTAAATAATCAATTAAACAATTAACTAATGAAATTACATAAAATACTCTTTTTGAAGGTACAAGAGTGATTTAAGTTTCATAACTTTAGTAAAACATTGCTTTAGTTATAAGAACAGGATATAGTTCAGTTAGAGGTTAATACTTTAGAAATGTAATTTTTCCTCCTCCTCCTTCAAGAAAATTTTATCTTTAAGCTTGTAAATTTTTAATGATTCTTGGAATTGCTATTTTATCCATTTTTACTTTATTATATTTCTTGAAGTATTAATTTATGGATTATTCATCAAAGTTGATTATTATTAGGTAAAATATGGGTAATATTAAAGATATTTAGATGTAATAACATGGATAGTTCCACCTGCATTACCAATATTTTTTTCTTTAGCTTAAGCAATTTCATTATTAAAATTAAAAAGAGAAGATATTATGGGATCTAATCCAATAAAAGCAGAGGAAGCAGGTAAAATAGATACAATTTGTTTTGACAAAACTGGCACTCTTTCCACTTTAGGATTATAAGCACATGATTATTATCCAATTTGTAATGAAATTATTGATATAATGGCATGTTGTCATCATTTAGTATTAGTAAATTAAGAATTATTGGGAGATCCATTAGAAATGGAAATGTTTAATAAAACAAATTGGTAGATAAATTTTGATGAATAAAAGTATTTTAAAGTTTCAAATTAATAAAAAACATTTAAAATAATTAGAATATTTGAATTCAGTTCTCATTTATAAATGATGAGTGTTGTAGCTCATAATGAAAATGAAGATTCATATTCATTATTTATAAAAGGTTCACCAGAAAAGTTGATTTCAATGTCAATTAATGATATAAGTAAATCAATTCATGAACAATTATAAATAAAAACGTTTAATGGACTTAGAGTAATTGGATTAGGTTATAAATAATTACTTCCTGATTAAATTAACTTAGATAGAAATCTATTAGAAAATGAAATAAATTTTTGTGGTATCTTTACTTTAGAGAATAGTTTAAAGAAAGATACAAGTAATGTTATTTAATAATTGTTGGATTCAAATTTAGATATAAGAGTAATATCTGGTGATAATGCTCTTACAACAACTCATTGTGCATTTGAATCTAAAATAATATAAAATAAATCTAACACCTTAATAATAGATTATGATTAATCAAGTGATTGCTTATTATTATAAGATTTAAGATAATAGATTCCATCTTCAAGTAGATCTTCATGTGATGGTAAACCAGGATCTTAATATAATTTCATTTTAAATTAATTAGATATAATTTATAATAATGATTGCAATTATGCTATCACAGGTAATTTATGGAATGCTTTAATTTAAAATAAAATTAGCGAAGTTTCTGTCAATTAATCAAGTTATTAATTATAATAATATAATTAATTAAAATAAATAGATGAAATTGACTAAAAATAAATTGAAACTTTGAATAAGGTTATTAAGAAAACTAAAATATTTTCCAGAATGAAACCACATTAAAAAAAAGAGATTGTCCAATATTTATAAACTCAACTTAATCAAAATGTTATGATGGTTGGAGATGGAGCAAATGATTGCGTATACATCAATCAATTCATTATTTTTAGTCTGCCATAGCTGAATCTCTTGTAGGTGTTTCCTTTAGTTCTTCAGATGCTTCATATACATCTCCTTTCAGTAACAAATCTGATTCTATTAATTGTGTTATTTTAATATTGCTTCAAGGAAGAGCAACCAAAAGAATCATCATTGAATTATTCTAATATTTAGTACTCATTAGTGTCTTAAAATTTACTGGAACTGCTTTACTCTAATTTTAAGGAATGAATTTTGGCGATTTCTAATATATATTCATGAACTATATGTCAAGTGTTCCATTATTAATTCTTATGACTTTATCCTTTAAATAGAATTTATTAACACAATCCATACCTAATGATGATGTATTTGCAATTTAAAATTAATTGCAATTTTACAATATTTTTATATTCACATCTTTAGGTTGTATAATTTTAGCACTTATAGCTATACATTATACAGAAGAACCTGTAATTAGTACTCCAATAGATACTTATACAAGAGAAGGTCCTTTGAATTCAGTAATGATGTTGGCCAATTAATATTACAATATGATCATATGCCTAATTTTATATTAATCTCATCCTTTTAAGAGTAATTTTTTATGTTTAATCAGAATAATTTTACTCAAACTATCCATTGACAATTTGGATAATTGGATGCTTAATTATTGCCATTACAACCACGTTTAGTAACTCATCTAAGAGTTGGCTTTCATTAGTTAATATTAATGATGAAATGTACATTTTTATAAATATTGAAGTTTTGATCACAGTGATCTTTTAGTATTTTTTGTCATTTTTTGTACAAGCGTTTTATGTTAATTATGTTAAATCATGATGTAAAAAATATTTCCAACTATTAAACCTCTATAGAAATGACATATTAAATTATATATGTAATTAATTTAAAAAACTCAGATATTGAAGGCTAACATATTCTTTATTAAGTTACTCCAGTCTAACTTAGTAAATTAAGGCTTTTGTTCGCTGTAATTATAAATTAAAAATGGTTAGGTTATTTTATCAATATGTTCTGCATTCATTTTTGCATTGGCTTTAAGATATTCCAGAAAATTGTATAATGCTTTTCTGTTTACTTAATGTTAAGAGGAATCAATTGCTACCCATTATTTAATTGAAACTGTTTCAGGTGAGTAATTTGTATGTGCCAAAAAAATTATTGATAATTAACCATATTTCATATTTAGGTATTAAAACTAAATATATTAGAATGCTTAAATATAAATATAATGAGTAAATTAAAACTTATGAACCCATAGAATTTGATGCAAAAGAAAAAGTCATTTCTGAATTAATCTAATCAAGAAATGTTCTAACTAGAGAACTTAAAATTTAATATTTTGGAACATGTTAACTTAAAATACCAATAGAATCTATATTTATATATTCATTACATGCTTTTACAGGTCCATTTAATATTTTACAATATTTTGCTGTTGCGATATGGTTTGCTGAAAAAACAGTCCTTTAACCAGTATTAATATTGATTTTCACAGTTCTCACTGTCTATTTGAATTATTTTCTATATGTTAGATCAAGAAAAAGATTACAATAATTAGCTAATATTCATTAAGATGTAACAATTAAAGAATCTGATAAATAAAAAATCATTAATGGATCCGATCTTGTTCCAGGTGATCTTATCATTCTTAAAGAGAATCAAACATTAAATTGTGATTGTGCTATCATTTCTGGTGATGTTATAGTTAATGAAGCTACTTTAACAGGTGAAGGTATACCAATTCCAAAAAGTGCATTGCCAAATTAGAATTCTATATTTTAATTAGATAAAATGAGTTAACATTGTTTATTTGAAGGTACTCAATTGATTCAAGTAAATAACACTTAAGAAAATGTGGCTATTGTACTTAGAACAGGTTTTACATCATTAAGAGGATAATATTTTAGAAATGTACTTTTTCCTGAACCTCCATCAATGAGATTTTATATTTAAGCAGCAAAATTCATTCTTGAAATAGCTTTTATTATAGCTATGATTTATGGATTTCTATTGATTAAATATGTTCCTATGGAATTCTAAACAAGTATCTTAGTATTAAGATTTTTGGATAATATAGTTTGGTCAATTCCACCATCAATGCCTATTTTCTTTTAAATTTGTAAAACAGCTAGTTTAGTTAGACTAGAAGCTAAAGGCGTTATTGGAAATAATGCAGATAAAGTAGAATCAGCAGGAAGAATTGATACTTGTTGCTTTGATAAAACTGGAACTCTAACAACACTTGGATTTAAAGCAATAAAAGCATTACCTGAAGAAGAAAAGCCAATTTTGGATGCTATTATGGGTTGTTGTCATCATTTAATTAAATTGAATGGATAATTATTAGGAGATCCTTTGGAAATTGAAATGCTCAATTTTGTTGGCTGGTAATGTAATTTCAACAATAATCCTCTAACTATTGAAGGAAATGGAATGACATATACTGTTCATAAAGTATTTGATTTTAGTTCATAAAAATCAATGATGAGTGTTATAGTAACAGATGGATCTAAATATTATTTATATGCAAAAGGTTCTCCAGAAGCGATTAATTCTATTTCTGTAAAAAAAAGAGATGATTTAATTGATGAATTCAATTAGAATGCTATTAAAGGTTATAGGGTTTTAGGTTTAGCATTTAAAGAATTATAATTAAATTAAATTGATTTATAAAGAGAATAGATAGAATAATAATTAAATTTTGTTGGCCTATTAGTTTTGGAAAATCCATTAAAATCAGATACAAATCAAATTATTACTACTTTAAAAGAAACAGGATTAGATATTAAAGTAATTTCTGGAGATAATCCTTTGACAACAATATAATGTGCTAAATTAGCTGGTATTTTAAATTAAGATAATGAAATTACCTTTTTAGATTATAATTAATAAAATTTTGAGATAGTTTTATAATGCAATAATAATCAATAAATAATTAAGGATCAATAACCTAATAGTAATTAAGAATTAGAATAATTTATAAATAATTAAGAAGAATTGGCTTTAACTGGTAAATTTTTAGAATATATGTTTAATAAAGGAAACTTTCTGATTGAAGCAAAGAATCCTACAAATTCTTTTGCGAAATCTTAAAGTAAAGAAAAGATTTTTACTGAAATCAATCAAATTGATATTGATGATGGATCATTTGGATAATTAGCAATTTAAATAATAAAAAAAACAAAAGTTTTTGCTAGATAAAAACCAGAATAAAAGAAACTTATAATTCAAATGATTTAAAGTCTTGGAAGATAAGTTTTAATGTGTGGAGATGGAGCAAATGATTGTGTAATTATTTTTCATTAAATATTATTAGTCAGCTATTTCATAAGCTTAAGTAGGAATATCATTTAGTGAAGCTGATGCATCATATACAGCTCCTTTTAGTAGTAAATCTACTTCATTAGATTGTGTAGTTAAGGTACTATTATAAGGTAAAGCAGCTACAATGACCATTATTGAAGTTTTCTAATATTAAATTAGCGTTAATACATTAAAATTCATAGCTGTTTTATTTACATTTTTAGAAGCTGAAACATTTGCAGATTTTTAATTCACTTATACAAGTATTATTTCAAACATTCCATTACTGATATTTTTATGTCTGTCTGGTCCATCTGATACTTTAGCTAAATATAATCCTTTAGATGATTAATTTGCCATTTATAATTAAATTTAAATTCATAACAATTTAATTTGGGGATCAGCTGGGTATTATAATATATTCATTATTAGATTAATAATTAATTTTTTTATATCATAAGCAGTCAGAGATGTACATACATGTGAGTTTAATGAACCTATTACAAATTGTATACCAAAACCAATTGAAGAATTAAAAAAAACAGGAGATATTTAATCTGTTATGTTTATGAGTTTAATGTTCTTCTTTATGACATTTGCAATCAATCTTTATATCTCAAATCCATTCAAATAAAGATATTATAGAAACTATTTATTACTCTTATGGACGATATTAGGATTCATCTTATTTTTTGTTTCAGCTATATTCCCAACTGGTGGAAAATGGGCTAAATTAATTAATGTTAATAATAATGCGTATCATTTTTTAATTATTTTTTAGTTTTAAAGGATATAATTGGATAATGATAGCTGTTGTTGTAATTGCCTCCTTTTTTGGATTTATTACTTAGGCTTTATTACAAAAATATCTTCCTTCAAAAAAGAAGATAGAATTTTGAATTA